GATTAAAAGCAATATGGTACCTTGGATGAGATCTTGGAACAGAAAACTGGACATCAGTGGGAAACTGGAGTTTGGATACCAGTGAGGTACCAATGTCAGTTTCTTAGTGTGACAAATGTACCGCAGTGATGATGTAAGATGTTGACAACAGGGGAACTGGGTGAGAGTATATGGGGACCCCTGTATTAACTGCAATTTTCCTGCAAATCTAAAATTAAACTGTAAGTTGAACTGGGGCAGGCAGGCCTCATCCAAAGTCGTTCAAGTTCAATTATATATGTGTGTGTGTGTGTGTGTGTGTGTGTGTTTTAAAAAAATGAAAGTATTTTTTAAGTGTATTTTGAATAAATACAAAAGATTAAGTGGAGGCGGGGTTTCTAATATTTCTAGTTGGGGAGGTTTAAGAAAGAAAGAAAAATATACCCCCAAATTAAATGGAATGATCAGGCCTTAAGATTTAAGGAATCTCCCAAACTCCTACCAGCTGAATATACATCAATACTCCACAAATCTGTACCCCCTCCCTTAAGGTGTAGACTTTAAAAGACGCACAAAGTGGTCTTAACCACATGTTGGTAATAAACTCTTCTAAAAATACATCTTCATGATGTGTATAGAGCTGTTTTCTAGATTTAGGTATCAGACCAACACACAAAAGGACAAGGCCTTCAGAGAGAAGATAAAGCAGTGTTTTCACCACCAACTTAATCCTCTAAAATCAGTTCTTTCAGGAAGAAAAAAAGGAAGATTATTCAATTCCATTCCCCGCCTCCACTCTCCAGCCCCAGAAAAGAAACCCAGGAGACATCCCGGAATATGTGCCTAACAGAAGTGACCCCAGGAGACCCCAGGAAAGAAAGGATTCCTTCAGCAAAAGAAGGGCACACATGCAAATGGTCAGGTCTCCAAAGAAAATAGCTCAGTTTGTACACAAGGTGGAGGACCAGCTGGGGAAGGCCCCAAATATCTGGTCTTTTACTGTCTCTGGAGAAAAAGGTTCTTTACAACAATGTGAGCATAAGTGAAACCTGATTACAAACGCCCTAAGGAACTCTTTCACTTACACATTTATTAAATCGAGTATCACTCAAAATTCCTAAAGTAAGGGCCACTGGCTAGCCATCTTTAAAGTACGAAGACTCCGCAAGGCTGTTTTTGTTGTAATGGAATTTAACCTGCAGATGGCTGCTCCAGAAAATGTCCAACGTAAATGATGTTTCTTAAACTCTAAGTTAATAAGGAGAAAGAATTTAGACAAAAGAGGATATTGGGAGCTCCGGCCATCTTCGGGGAAGGAAGTGAGAAATTGTACCATGGCTGTTAGGCTATTTGACCCCCCAACAAATTCAAACTCAGGATCCTTCCATAAAAAATACAGAAGCTCACAGTGAAATTTTCAGAGAAATGCTTTCAAATTCCATCTCATGAATCCAATCTGTTTCCGCGGGGCGGTATATTCCACAAGTCAAAGATAAATTTACCACAATCTGAAAGCCAGGTTCAAACATAGCGCGAGTACAAATTACAGTGATTTGTGGAATGAAAAACGCTTCGATTGGGGAGAACCAGAAAGGGCAATTTCCCTCTGGGTTCCTGCTGAAACCACATCCCCAGTTTCCACAGGAATGATGGTTTTTGATGAAACTGTGCAATGAGAACATGACTGGGACTGCATCAGGAGGCAGAAGTGTGTGTACCCTGATTGCAACTTCATAAAAAAACAGGCACCACGACAAAAGACCAGGCCGCTGAATGAGCAAACAAACCGTGCTAGCCGTTTCATTCACTCGGTGAGATCAGCCTCATTTTCTTCTATCTTCCACACTTTCTGTAATACTGTTATTTTCTATATCACTTTAAAAAATAGCAATGCATCATCTGTGAGTAACCTCCCTGGACTCAAGGTTCAGGCAAGTCAGTGCTAAGCTCTTAAATTTACCCCAGGAACACGGTCAATTCTAAAGCTCCCTGAGCTAAATAGTTTAAATTCTCCATCAGTTAACACCAATAAGAAAGCAATACAGAAGAAAGTGCCTCAGGCGTTCAGGATCCTGGTGAATTAACTTCCTACCTAGGAGATGAGCAGGAAATCACTACAGACACCCTCGATTCTGTCCATGCCTTAAACCCTATGAAATTACACACAGTTCTTCTACTGAAATAAGTAAGTTGAAGGGAGAACTTCATTAGGTACGGAAGTGTTACCACAGCTGCCCAGAGCGCCCACGCAGATTCAAACAACAGGATGAAATTTTGAGGATTCAGGAAAGTACCACTTTAGGCTCAAATAACAATTTTACGGTAAGTAAACACCAATCAAGTGCAGAACAGGCCATGGGCAGCCCAATGAGCACCAAAGACATCACAGACACGCCTGTACTAAAGAGAGACGAAGTGAAGGGGGTCTATTTGCCTGAAGAGGTGGATCCCCTCACCCACAGGGCTATTTTCACAGCAGCAAAAGCAACACAGAGGAGGAGTCCCATACCAAGACTCTGGGGCATCCTCATGTGGATCTATAGCTGTAGGGAGATTCACTTGGGGCAGGAGAATTTTACGTCCCTGCTGGGCACCAGCCTATTCTCACACACACCTCTGGTCAGCATGGGGGGTTGATGGTCACAATGCATGTTTATGTCCTTGAAAATCAACTTGGACTGGAAATGCCTTCTGGCTCCTTCCCTCTCAGTGGTTCCCTTTTTAGTGTCCTTAACCCTGGGCATGTCTGTGCCTCCTCCGAAACTTTGTTGAGATGCTTCTACAAAATGTGGAATGCTGTCCACCGTGTCCACATGTCCCTCTGCCAAAGGTGTTCAGGCCTCAGCGTTGCTACTAAACTTTTCTTGGTTAACCTGGCCCCAAGCTCATAGCACCCTCCCTCCCACGCCTCCCAACCCCCTTCCAGGCATTAGTGAGCACTGGCTCTTTCACAACTGTGTGTTTCCACTTTCCACCCACAGCGAAAACCCCTCAGGACCAGGAACCATTTCTTCTGTGTCCTTTCCAGGGCAAGGGTAGCACTTGATTTCCCCACAGCCAGCCAGCCCATGAAATGGACTGAAGCAACAACGGGAAATTTACTCACCAAAGACAGCCAATTACTTCAGTCTAGTATTTTAGAGATTTACCCAATTGATCCTCCGGCTCAGATCAATCACCAAGTCACTTAATCCAGGGAAACATTACAACAAGGATACTTTTTCAAAAGTGAATAAAAGCATCTATTATTAATGCCTTAAAGGAATAGGAAAGAGGGAAGATGGGCCTCTCCCATTGTAGATCTACAGTAAGTGTTTCTTAGAGAGTCTGGTGCACATTAGAATCCAAAGCCAGGGCTGGCTGTGGGGGGAGCCAAGTGCAGCATGGGTGTTATTCTAGCCAGATAGAGCGAGTCACCTGCTCTCTGGATTCTGATCCAACTATGATAAAAACCAAACAGTGGTAGAATCCCAGATACAATCTCTCTTCACAGGCATTCAGGTTAGTCTCAATTTAAAAGAGCCACCCCGAGAAGGCCCTGGGGGTAGGGGTAGGAAAGTAAGTGAGGCTCACATGAATGCAAACCATGGTGTTCCTTAAAAGGCCCCAGGAGAACGGCGGGGCCAACTTTCCTCCCAGGCAGCCCTGAACCAAGGCGGAGGGGAGAGATGTACCCCCATGGGAAGACTGGTGGGAGAGCCTAACCTGATGGGTTACACAGGAATGCCCTGTGGCTTCCAGAAACGGGATTTCCCAACCACCAACGGGTGAGTGACATCAGCCCCACTGTCTCAAAGGACAAAAGTGAAAACTAGTGAAGGTCCAACAGGCCCTCTCCCTGAAATGCTGGCCCTTCCATGAATCACCATTTCCCCAACACACACACCCCTCACCCCCGCCCTGACCTGGATCAGGAGCTCCTGGCATAACACCCAACCCACTGCCCAGATGCACACTGACCTGGAAAGCTGAGGGGAGGGCCCCTGCCTCGCTTGGCGGGAGGGACAATGTCCACCTCTGCCACAGGTTCCCTTGCCTGTGCCACCAGCTCTCATCCTGACCGGCAATGGGCAGACTCCAGCGCTCACCGGGCACCAATCTCGGGGCGGGGCGCCTGGCCGGCCAAGACTCCGGTTGCGTTGGTCCGGGATTCTCACTTCCCGGTGCTCCCCAGGCCCTCAGGTGTCCACACAGGCACCCACTAAAGGCGGTCCTGGGTCCGGCGAGGCTCTCCCGAGGAGAGGACAAAAGCGCAGATGGCGTGGCCCCTAGAAGCCGAACTTCTGAGACCTGCGTCCGGGAACCGGTGGGGTTTTGTTTGGTTTTGTTTCTAAATCCCCGGGTGACGATTCTGGAAATCTCAACTTTAAGATCGCGGGCGCCAGAGCGAACCCCGACTTTCCTGAAAGGACTCGGGACGTCCTTTCCTCGGAGGGAGCCCCGCACACCCGCAGGGGCGCGACCCCACCG